ATAGCGGATCCTGACCATCTGATCTTGCCTCCGACCAAACCGTCGGCCGAGCTCCCCACAGTAGCTGTGAACGGGGCTAACACAAAGCACATATAGATGCTGGTCTCTCTCATGAGCGAGCTATCATATGGCCCGCGACAAGGGCCGAGTCCGTAGACCAGTCGTGTCGGGCGGCGGTGACACGCAGGTACGACCAGGTGACGACCCCCCCTCAAATGCAACAGGATTGCCCCCCCCCCCCCCCCCCCCCCCCCCCTCTTCTCCACTCCTCTCCCTCAAGCACATTCGTCTGTGCGGAGGAATGGCGGCAGCAAGCGGGAGTGTGGCTGCCCTGCGGGAGGTGCTTGCGGCGGAGGAGGCCGGACGGGCTGAGCGCATCCGTGAGGCCGAGGCCAGACTGGTGGCTTTGCGGGCGTCGCTGGAGGACAGAGTGGCTGCGGCAAGGGAGGCGGCTGAGGCGCGGAAGGCCAGAGCTGACCGCATGCGGATCTCGCTGGCTGCAGCAGACGGCGAGGCGGCGGCGACGGCAGAGGCCGGCGGCATCGTGGCCGACGGCGAGGCTGCTGCTCGCGCCCGTCCGGCACTGGCCGATGCCGCCACGGGGACAAGCTCGGGCGGGGATGCCGTCTCGGGCCTCGCCCGGTCAGACGTGGTGGTTCATATGGTTGTCCGCCCGCGCCGTCGTGAGACGTACAATAAGGCGACGCAGACCCGCCCGCTGGCGGGCGAGGAGGCGTCGGGGCGGAGTGCGGCTGCGGCGGAGCGCTCCGGTGCGGACGGCACAGGTGTTGGTGGCGCTGAAGCTGGCAAGGCGCCAGACGCGGAGGAGGGCGATGACATGGCGCTGGCTGTGGCGGCGCTGGAAGCGGCTATGAAGAGTGTGCCGCCGGCCGAGCGGGAGGCGCTCGCGGAGACCCGGGCGTGTGCTGCGTTTGTGGGCAAGGCGGCGCGGCAGATGGAGCGCGTGCTTGTGGCAGAAGAGCGCGGCAAGCGGATCGAGGAGGGGCGCGAGGGCGGAGCCGACGAAGAGGAGAAGCGAGGACTCGACATTGCGGAGGTCTTTGCCATCGACGTGCGGAGCTCGGGCCGCGACGAGCGCGGGGTGTGCGCGCTCGACTGGTCGGACGCGTTCCCGGAGCTGTTCCTGGTCGGGTACGGAGACAGCTATGCTCGCGGAAACAACGCGTTTGCGCCGCGTGGGGCGGTTGCACCAGGCTACATGGAGCTGTGGTCGCTCTCGCTGCCGACAGTGCCAGAGTATGTGTTCCGTGCGCAGTCACCGATCACGTCTGCAGCGCTTGTCCGGCATCACGGCGGGCTTGTGCTCGGCGGAACACACTCGGGCCAGGTTGTGCTGTGGGACACGCGGACCGGGCTGGAGACGCCTGTGGCGGCGACGCAGCTGGCTGGCGCCAACCACGGCGGGCCGGTGCGGTCTGCGGTGGTGGCCGGAACGGCGAACAACTTGACGCTGGCGACCATCTCGGGCGACGGCGCATTTATCACGTGGGCGGCAGACTCGTTGGCAGCGCCGACCGAACGGCTCAACATCGGGTGTGCGCCGTCTTGCATGGCGTTTGGCTCGTCTTCGCCCAACTCGTTCTACATCGGCACCATGACCGGCTCGCTGTGGTCGGTCGAGCGGCACGGGAGCGGCAAGGGCCTCGCCGCCGAGTACGCGCACCACTCGGCCATGGTCTCTGCACTCTCAGTCTCGCCGCACACGGCGACGCTCGACTACGACCTCTTGCTAGCTACCTCGTTTGATTGGAAGACCTCGCTGTGGCGGTCGGACATGAGCTCTCCGGTCTACGTCTTTGACGAGTTTGTGGGCTACCTCTACGATGTGGCATGGAGCCCGCGGCACCCGTCTGTCTTTGCCACGGCCGGCGCTCGCGGCCGCATCCAGCTGTGGGACCTCCTTGTCTCGCCCAAGGAGCCGGTGGCGTCGATCGGCATCGGCGAGAGCCTCACCGTAACCTCGCTCGCCTTTTCCTCTGACGGTTCTCGGCTCCTTGCCGGGGACACCTCGGGCCACACTGCGGTCATTCGCGTAACTGGCGCCGCCCCAGGTGACGATGACTTTGACCGCCTCGACGCCGTGCTCTCTGCTCTCGAGCAAGCTCTGTGAGCCTCGGACGCGGCCCTTCCGGGCCAGTTGCTCCTGATCCAGCTGCTTGGCCAACCGTAAACGACTCGATTGTGCACACGCCATCCGTATCTGCACCATTGGAGACGCTAACCGGGTTGCTGGGACGTCGACACGTCGGGCTCGCCCCGGCGGTCTGGCGGTCGGCGGCGGCGGGCAAAGGCACTTAACGCGGCGAGCTCGATGCTCACGGTCTCCCGACGAGCGCTAACACGGGCATGGCAGCACGCGCGAGCCGCTGTGGCAGCCTCCAGCATGCTGAGGTTCTCCACCACATCCATGGCGACTGCAAGCGACAAGGATACATTTGAGCGTACGTATGCCCTGCGACACCTCTGTGTTGTCCTCGGCTGGCTGGGATGGGCGCCGTGCCGTGTCGTCCTCTGTGGGCCCGGCGGAGGGGGAAGGGGGGGGGGGCTCATAGTGGCACAGCACTCACTCATCAGTAATCGCATTGCCGAATCGTTGGCGGGGAATGATCTCGGTTCTGTTACGATGGTGCGCCTTTGATCTGGTTGCACTACATACGCGGACTGTCCTGATCTGGCCCCACCCCATGGACCTCCCCCCCCCCTCCCTGATCTGGTCATGCATCCGCGTGCCCGTGTCCCCACCTCCATGGAATACCCCCCGTAGTGTGCATCGGAGAAACTTGCGGCACGTTCCGAGAGGCGCGCAAGGCCGAGCTGGTGCCGTCGGGATACGCCTCGGAGCAAATCGGCGAGCAGCACGGAAATGTGCTCGAGTGGATGATCCAGAAGGAGCTGCTTGCGCAAGACGTGTTTGTGCTTGGTGACGCAGGCTCGATGCGCAGGGAACTGGTCTTGGCGTATTGCGAGCTGGCTGAGCGCGAGGTCGAGTACATGCCGATCTCGCGTGATACTACTGAATCGGATCTGAAGCAGCGGCGAGAGATTGCGGGCGGCAGCATCGCGTACGTCGACCAGGCAGCAGTTCGCGCTGCCAAGGCAGGCCGCGTTCTTGTCCTCGATGGCATCGAGAAGGCCGAGCGCAACGTCATGCCCATCCTCAACAACCTGCTAGAGAACAGAGAGATGAACCTCGAGTCGGGCGAGCTGCTCATCGCACCGGAAAAGTACGACGCGCTCGAGGCCCAGCACGGCAAGGAGGCGCTCGACAAATGGGGCCTCATCCGCGTCCACGAGGACTTTCGCGTCATGGTCCTCGGCCTCCCTGTTCCGCCGTACGAGGGAAACCGGCTCGATCCGCCGTTCCGTTCCCGATTCCAGGCCACTGCCCTTCCGCCGCCGTCGGCCGACGAGCTGCTCTCGCTTGCCCACGGCCTGGCCCCGAGCGTCCCGCTCGATGTCACCCGCTCGGTCGTCGGCTTTGCCCTCGCTGCCCACGCCGCGTCGGCGCCAGGCAAGGCGGCGGCCCACACCAAGGCCGCCGGCGACAAGCCGCGCTCGCCGCTCCCGCTAGGCTTTCCGTTTTACCCGGGCCTGGCGCGGACGTTCAACACGCTGGAGGCTGTCGCGTCCCAGGCGCCGGCAGTTGTCCCGCATCTGGTGACTCCACTGATGGACGCCACGTTTCCTTGGCGTGAGGCGCTCAAGGCCTCGTCTCCAGCGTCGGCATCCGAGGCCGCCTCGGCCATGTCTGTCGCTGCCGCTCGCTTCAACCTCAAGGGGGCGAGCAAGGCCGCCTCTGATCTTGCCGTCCGCCGCCTCTCTGAAGCCTCAGCCCCGGGCTTTGCCGCCTTTGAGTTTGAGCACCCTGCCACCAACTCGCGGTTCGTGCTCGAGGCACCCGTCGGCACCCGCGCCGCCGACACTTTTATGGCCTCGGACGCCGCCCACGACTCGAGCGCAGTCGCCCACATCGTTCTCGCGCTCGCCACCGGGGTCGATGCGGCGGTGGTCGGCGGCCGCGGCGTCGGCAAGTCGCACGCTGCCAAGTCGGTCGCCGCCCTGCTTGGCGTCGACCTCGAGGTCCTCCCCATGTACAAGGACATGTCGACTCGCGATCTGCTGATGCGGCGGACGACGTCGGTCGAGGGCAACACGGCGTGGGAGCCGACGCCGTTGGTCCTCGCCGCGCTCGACGGCTCGCTCTGCGTCCTCGACGGCATCGACCGCATCGACCCGGGATCGCTTGCTGTTCTTCAGAGCCTCCTCCACCACCGCAGTGCGACGCTGCCGAACGGGCTCCGCCTGGTCCATCCGGACGCGCCCGAGGCACTCGTGCGCGACCCCACCGAGGTTGAGCGCCTCCTTCGTGCCGCCGATGCATCCGAGGCCGCGCCGCTTCCGGTTCATCCGGCCTTTCGGGTCCTTGGCCTCGGCCTCCCGCCCGCGTCGGGCGCACCGTGGCTCAACTCGGAGGCCGCCACCCTCTTTCGCACCCATGTCCTCCCGCCGCGGAGCCAGGCTCAGTTTGAGGAGCTCCTTGCCGCGCTTTTCCCGTCGCTCGAGGCTGCAAGCCTGCAGCGAATCACCTCGCCGCGGCTCGGCCTCTCGCTCCGGCAGGCTATCCATGTGGCCAAGCGCGTCGAATCGCACCCGGCAGATGAGCGCAACGCGGTCGAGCGGACGCTACTGGTCGCCTTTCTGCCCTCGGTCGAGCGCGAGGTGAAGACCGAGGTTCTTGACGAGGTCTTTGGAGCATCGCCCATCAAGGCTGCCGACGACGCGCCTGTCCGCATCGCAGTCACACCAGACGCAGTGACTATTGGCGACGTGTCGGCACCGCGGCGGGTCGGCGCCGACCCCACACTCGTGCCACAGATCGGCCACCGGTTTGCGGACATTCCAGCCCACACCGCGGTCCTCGAGTCGCTGCTCAAGGACTACTCGGCCGGCGAGTCGCTGCTGCTCATCGGGCCGCAAGGCGTGGGCAAGAACATGCTCTGCGACCGGTTCCTCGAGCTGCTCAACGCGCCGCGGCAGTACATCCAGCTCCACCGCGACTCGTCGGTGATGAGCCTGACGTCGAACCCGAGCTTTGAGGGCGGGGTGCTGTCTTGGGGCGACTCGCCGCTGGTCAAGGCCGCCATCCACGGCCATGTTCTTGTGGTCGATGAAGCTGACAAGGCGCCGCTGGAGGTCGTCGCCGTCCTCAAGTCGCTCATCGAGGACGCCCACATGCTGCTGCCCGATGGGCGCAAGCTAGTGGCGCCCGAGGTGGCGGCGGCGCTCGGCAGCAACGCCGGCCTCGTCCCCATCTCGCCTGACTTTCGGGTCATCGTCCTCGCCAATAAGCCAGGCTTCCCGTTCCTCGGCAACGACTTTTACCGCGAGTGTGGCGACTTGTTTGCCGTCCACTCGATCGACAACCCAGACGCGGCGTCCGAGCTGATGATGCTGCAGGCGCATGCCAAGGGCGTTGACGACGCCTTGCTCAAGTCGCTCACTGCGGCGTTCCGCGACCTGCGCGCCTCGGTCGATGCCGGTCATCTCTCTTATCCGTACTCATCACGCGAGCTGGTGGCTATTGTGCGGCATGCGTCCAAGTTCCCGTCGTCGGGCCTCGCCGGCGCCCTCCACAACGTGTTTGACTTTGACGCCCACGATCCGGCGGTCCTTGCGCTACTGGCGTCGACGTTCCGGGCGCATGGCTTGCCGCTTGGCGTCACACCGCAGTTCCGAACTGCAGTGGCGCCTGCGGTGCCGCTGGGCGAGCCGCTGGAGGTGGCGTCGTGGGCCAAGGTGCCCGGCTCGACCGTGAGCGTCGAGGCTACTCAGGTCGAGCTCGAGGCCGATGCCGAGTTTGACTGGGAGGCGCCGTCGCCGGTGGCCTGCACCGATGACGGCGGACGGCCGGGCCTCGACGCCAACATCTTCAACGAGCACGTCGGTACGACTCGAGTGCCGAGCCGCGGCCAGCCGGTGGCAGTGGCGACTGGCGGCGATGGTGGCGTCCACGTGGTCGGCTCCTCGCCGGAAATGCTGTTCTCGTACTCGGCAGATCGGCGGAGCTACACCACGCTTGACCTCTTTGCCAGCAGCGGCGGCGACGGCTTTGGTGGCGCTGGCCGGTACGTGCCGAACATCGAGATTGCCGCGCTGCCGCGGGACCAGAAAATCTTCCTTGCCTACCAGGGCGAGGGGCTGCTGCTCGACCTGGCTGCCCGGCGTGGGCAGCGGTTCGAGCTCCCGGCCGGGACGGTCGGCGGCCACGCGCAGATCAACGCCATGGCGTCATCGTTTTCGATCTGGGGTCAGAGCACGGGCGGGAAGCGGTCGCGGCTGGACGAGGAGCTCGTGGTCAACGCGGCGCTTGCAGAAGAGCTCTCTGCGCTTGTGCTCTACTCGCCACGTGGCGACCTCATTCATCTACTCTACGCCAACAACGTGCTAGAGACGGTGACACTGCCCAAGGGTACAGAGCTCGCCGCTGTCGACCCGATCTCGCCGCTGGTGTACCTGCTGACGCTCGACAATGGACAGCGGGCGCTGCTGGAGGGCGACCGGGCAACGCCGGGCTTTGCCAAGTTCAGCCTGCTGCGCGGGAGTGGCGCGAGCGAGCTGCGCGTGGCTAGCAAGGTTGGGGCGCCCAAGGTGGTTGCGGCCGGCGGCGAGGTCATGGCTGCGATCGACGATGGGGCGCTGAGCGCAAGCGAGGGCAGCGCCGAGAGCGGCAAGATGCTCGGATGGATGCGGAGCGAGCACGCAGGCGCCGGGCGGACGGTGGTGGCATCGGTCCACTGCCGGGCGAGCGGCGAGAATGAGGACCAAGCATTTGTGGCCGACCGTGGATCGGATGGCAACGTGGTCAACGTGCTGGCGTGCGAGGAACCCGGGACGTACGAGCTGGAGGTGGTGGATCTCGGCGCGCACACGGTGCGGCGGTTTGGATTCGACGCGCGGTCCGGCATGATGGCAGCGATGGTGGAGGCCGAGAGCGCGACAGGAGCCTCGGGCTTGCGGAGCTCGCGAAGTGCGCCGTCTGTAGTCGACGCGGTCGAGCTGCCGCACGGGTGCGTGGGCGTGCAGATGACAGACGGCGCGATGTACGTGTTTAAGGTCGACGCGCTGGCGCTCGAGGCTGAGCTGGCGCGGTGGCAGGGCTTTGCCGGCAAGGGCGAGGGCGGCAGGCGGGCGCGGCGGGTGGAGAAGAAGCGGACGCGGCACCGGAGCCCGACGGCGCCCAAGCACGGCAAGATCGATCCGGACAACACACCGCACGTGGGCGGGAACCAGTGGCACGGTGGAACCGGCGGGGCAGACACAGCCGGGCTTGGCGGCGTGGGCGGCCCGTACCGGGTTGACGCCGGGCACAACGTGCACCAGGTGCCGGACTCGGTGAAGGCCGAGCTTGACGCGGAGACTGCGGCGGCGGCGCGGGCGATGGGCGAGGCGGCGCTGGCTGAGCGGCTGAAGGAGATCGAGATGTCGCACCACGAGGCGGGGCTGTACGACCGGTACCGGTCGTCGGTGGCGACGCCGATCCGTGAGCTGGAGGTCCTGCTCTCGTCGCTCGAGGCCAAGAACAAGGAGCGGGCGTGGTTGAGCCACCAGTCGACCGGCGATTTGGACGAGGCCAAGCTGGTGGAGGGCCTGACAGGCGAGACGAACGTGTACAAGCGGCGCGGCAAGGCGACGAGTCTGCCGTCTGCGGCGCAGCGCAAGCCCAAGAAGATGTCGTTTGTGCTCGACTGCTCGGGCTCGATGTACCGGTTCAACGGGCTCGACGGGCGGCTGGAGCGGCTGCTGGTGTGCAGCCTTATGATTATGGAGGGTCTTGCGCCGGGCGTGGCGGCGGGCACGCTGCAGTACTCGATTGTGGGCCACTCGGGCGGCTCGCCGGCCATTCCGCTGGTGAGCTACGACGCGCCGCCCGCCAACGAGGCCGAGCGGCTGCGTGTCCTCCAGACCATGGCCGCACACTCGCAGTTCTGCCCGTCGGGTGACCACACCGTGGAAGCGGCGCAGCTGGCAATGGACGCTATGGCCGAAGAGGACGCCGATGAGAAGTTTGTCTTTGTGGTGAGTGACGCCAACCTGGCGCGGTACGGCATCCCGGCGTCGGCGCTCGGCAACGCGCTGGCCTCGCCCGACTCGGACGACATTGCCGGATACGCAGTCATGGTGGCCTCGTTTGGCGACGAGGCCTCGGACATTGTTGCCGCCGTCGGTCCTGGCCGTGGTTTTGTCTGCTCGGATCCTGCCGAGCTCGTCGATGTCTTCCGTGAGGTGGTCAAGTCGACTCTGTAGCCTGCGGCGGTGATCAAAGTGACGTGTGTGTGTGTGTGTGATTAAGGGGGCGGTGATGCGCGGGCCATGTAGCGTTGCGATGACTATCCTACGCATGAGATGTGGAATACCAGACGTGCGTAGATGTGGCTGACAGTGCGATGGTGGTGATGTGAGAGGTGGGAAGAGCAGAACAAGGGCGGGCGGGTGGTCGGGCGGGCGGGTGGTCGGGCGGGCGGGCGGGTGGTCGGGCGGG